GGTTAGTGATTGCGTGAGAGTGTCGTGCGCGAGAAGTGCTGGGGTCTAGCAGATGTCTAAGAAGTTGCCACGTTCGTTTATTACTGAGGTGGTCATGCATTCCTTCACAAAGCTGACCCCATTGTTGTGCCGCCAATTGAGTCGTGTATCGCTCGATTTGTTGGTCTAGCTTCGTATCCTAATGCGGAGTTTCCTGTTGTGGCGCTCGTGTTTTCCCCGTCGCAGAAGTGACTACTTTGCTTCCCACATATGGAGAAGCTTGGAGTCGAGAGTAGTTATCGGGGTGTCGGGGGGTAGAGTTCTCGTGTGAGTTTCAACATCTTTTTGAAAGCTGTTCAGTCCACTCGTTAAGGTCTGCAATACGTGAGGGAGCGGTGCTGTTGCGGGTCTCTCTAAATTTGTCTCATTCTGTGAGCATCAGTGGTTTAGGTGCAATGGGTCTGTGTTTTAGTTGTAAAGTAATGCTAATAATGTAATGATCACTGCCAAGATTAGTTTGGGTGTTAGTCCAAACCACTGTGGGGGCACTGTGAGTGAGGGTAAGATCGGGGGATGTATCTTTGTTCACACTGTTCCCCAAACGAGTAGGCTCTTCCGGGTCGTTGTGCAGCGTAAAACGATGTGCCTGAATATGGGACCAGAGGGCTCTACCTTTCGGTGTAGATGCGGTGTAACCCCACGCTGGGTGGGAGGCGTTGAAATCCCCCACTATGAGGAGGGTGTATTTGTGCCTGCCGAGGATGTAGCTCGGGCAAATAGGGAATCGAACCGGTGCCTTTGCTCTTGTGGTCTACTATATACGTTAAGAATGTATAAGAATGGCGAGTCAAGTTTATCAGGTAATATTTGGAGAAAGTTGTGCTCATTGTCGATGTCAGCAAATTTTGAATAGGTAACTGTACGTGCTTCTGAGTTAAGACAGCAGCGTTTGGTTTGGCATCAGCCGGGTTTTGATGCGTTCTATAACCTGGCAGCTGCACTACACCATTTGTTTCTTGTAACGCAATGATTGGGGGAAGGGTAGTTTGTGATTTGATGTACTGCAGGAGGTTTGCTTTTTTTCGGCGAAACCCCCTGCAGTTCCATTGCCATACACAAAGTTCAGTGCGGTTACGAGGAGCCATTTTCGCTAAGTTGATTTGGCTTAGGTTGGGCAAGCTCTGGGTGGTTAGCGTGGACCGTGTCGATCCACTGCGTGACTCTATCTAGGGTTTGTTGCATCGGTAACATGGCTTGTATCGAGGCCACGGATTCGTGTAGCTTCTGCAAAAAAGCTGTGGAGAAGGTAATAAAATTGTCTAGTTTTTCCTCAAGTTTGGTTACTTTTTCTTTCTCTTTGTCAACCTTCTCTAGTTTCGCTTCGACTTGGTCTACTCGCTCATCAAATGTGGGAGTCGAGCCTTTTCGTTTTTGCGCAGGTGGTTGAGCGGGGTGCCTAGCTATAGGGGTGGTTGAGAGAGGAGCTGGTGCTGGTGAGATAGGCATAGGCGTGAAAGATGAGGCGGGGAGGTGTGGGGAGGTAGATGGTTGTTTGAAGGACTGAAGCCCTAGGCGTTGTTTTGCTTTTTCTGCCCTTAATTTAGCAATCTCATCCTGCAATAGTTTGAGCTGCTTTTGAATGGAGCTTTCAGGGAGGCTACATCAGCCCAGCTCACCTCGTGTCCAGGGCCAGTCCGAGGGCTGGGGTCTTGATGAATGCTTTTGTTGCAGCTTCGGCTGCGGCTGCGGCTTTTTCGGCTTTGCTGTCTTGTGATACTGGGTGAGCGTCCTCTAGGAGCGTTCTTGAAAGATGGGCTTGGGTCGAGGAAGGGAGCTGCATCTTGCTGGAAAGTTGAGGGTGCGTGCTATGGTTTCGGCTTGTAGAGCTGTGGGCACTGGGGCGAGCTGGTGGGGTGGTCACTGTTGCACACCACACACTTAGGTTCACATTCGTGATCAAGGAGTGGGTTTGGAATGCCACACATTGGACATAAAGGCTGAGGGGTGCCTGGGCATACGTCTGGTCTGTGGCCAAGTTTGCGGCAGAGATTACAGGCTTCCATCTTATGACGATAGGGTACGCATCTGGTGATGCCACCCTGATAACTTATGTAGAAAGACACGCGCGTACCTCTGAAGGTGACCAAGATGGACGTTGTGGAACCCATGCGACGTCCGGTCAGGATGAGGCCTAGTCTGTCATAGTCCAACAGACTTGACAGACTAGGCCTCATCCTGACTTGCGGGGAACATGCTGCTGCCGAGACAGACCGGATGTGGAGGAAATAAAGGTGGAGCCGCCCCACGTGTAAAGGTCTGGACTCTGCAGTCTCGGTGGTCACGAACTGGTGATCCACAGAACTGAAGTATCGTTGGTCTGTATCCAGGATGCTGAACATGGTAGCACTAGTAGCAAATAGTTGTATGCCCACCTTGGCCGGATGCACGTAAATCCCATCCTCGTTGCCAAAATGTAGTATCGTGCTTCGGACGCAAGGAGAACACAGGGCACGACGCTGAGGCGCCGGCCGACAAGAAGTATGCAGCAGCCGGTCCAAGCAGGAACTCCATTTATATGACACAAGCATGCTATTATATACATATGTAAAACGCGCTCTAGGGGCCAGCCAACTAGTTCCAAAACCAGAACCGAAACCACGACACCACAGAAAACAACAGGAAGAATGAGTGGAAGACATAATTACATGCACAACATGCGCGAATAAGGCATTTGAAGGGTCCTTCCTCTTCAATGCCAAGTATATGTACTTCTCATTGCCTCTCATCTTGTGTTACAGGGGCGTAACACCAGCCGAACTTATTTATTTATTCATTTCTTTCTATGCTCACGGGGCCCAAAGGCATTGCAGAGAGGTGTGGGCATAGTTGCTCAATGCTTTGAAGTTTGTAGCAATGGTAGAGGCGAGGAGGTGGTCGCACTTGAATAGTAATGCAAAAAGATGGAATAAAACAAGTGGCTTGGTTTTGTACTGATTTCCTAGTATCTGTTCGTTTTCTGGGAGATGACCTCACCTCCTCAGTCCAAGCCTGCAATTCTGCCAGGGCAGCTGAGCTCTGGCATTGGCACATGCACCTTGCACCACCTGCACACTTCATTTTCTATCTCTCCATTGGGGCATTCATCTGGCAGCCAAGCCCCATAATGTTAAAGGAACACTAAGGGGGAACAATAACTTGGTTTAGATTTACGGTTTAGATTTACAAACTGCCCACTGAATACTCTCTTTCACTATTATGAGTTCATTATTAGCGTAGAAAATTAAGCTTGAAGTTTTAATTTTTTAATTTCACATCATAATCTCCATCTGTGACGTAACAAATTTCAAAATGTATTTTCGATATTTTCGTTTCATTGGCTCGATGAAATTCTCTGATACTTCGTCTGCTGAGTCTATGGCACTCACAGATCACAACGTACTACATTCTTATCAATTGGAAGCTACGTAGGACCCAGTAAACGGCTTCAAAATTTCTTGTGTCACGGTGTTTGGTGCAGGAATCTCAAGGTGGCGTCTCCACCCGCATTTTCTTTTTGCGGGTTTATTGCTTAGTTAATGTCGTGTTGTGGTAAGAGTGGTGTTTTTGTGATTGTGAAATTGTGTACTTAACTAATATGCGAAAAATCGTTTTGCTTTTTAGTGTCCCTTTAAGGTTTAGAATTCTAAGGCCATATGCACATTTAAGTCTGACCCAGTCAGGCCTCGAAGAGGCTCTCAGTGAATTTATGAAAGGGGCAATGACAGTTTACGTCGGAGAGAAAGATCAGTGTTAGGGAATGTCTGAAACGTTGATATTATAAACAGCAGTGCTCTGCTAACCTAGGAATTAAGATAAATGTACGACACCTTATGTGCCACAAGTAGTATATTTTGGAATGATCCCGAGTTCTTCAATAGTCTGGATTATAGTTAATTACTAGTAATTAAACTAGTTACACTAAAAGAAAAAAACCTTTCATGTAAACAAAATGCTGTTTGTTCATTTCTGTTTATTCCTGGAAAAAAGAACTGCTTGGTGTTACCATAGGAAACACTACGAGGGGTTCAAACTTTTCGTTTACACCTAATTGTGCTCTGCTCATGCAGTCGTGTCTCAGTGGTAGTTTCGGTATCGCGTATGGTTGCATGTGCTTTGCATGCTTACAAAAGTAGCTGTGACGAAAGTTCGACAAAATGCCACGTGCATGTGATGTTGCTGGATGCCCAAATGGTGTGCGCTGCTTGAGCGGCAGCAAAGAAACCAATGTAACTTTCTACTAGGTGCCACAAACGAACCCCTTCACTCAATGTGGCCGAGTGCCGGGCCTATGTGCCAGCGTCGTGTGCCAATGTCTCTGTCAGGTTCATTGACGACATTCGTCCCGACAAGCTTTGATGGCCGTTCATGCTGCGATGGCTCCCGCTACTTTGGTTCTGGTGCCATGTCAGCAGCCGCTCCGTTAAGGCAGGCAACATTGGGCATGGCAACTGCTACGCCAGAAGGTTCGTTCATGTGGGTGATTTGAAGTGCGCTAATGACACGCGGACCTCTGAAACAGAATTTTATTTCAAAGTAAGCATTTCCTTGGCACGAAAGTAGTGCTACAAGGTCTCTGGATCACCATTTCAACAATCAATGTCGTCTTGGTATATTTGCCTTTAGTGCTCTTTGAAAAGTTGAAATGTCACGGTTGTAGCAGTTCTGCTTTGTAAAGCTCCAGTTGCTTAACTCTGTGGATTCTCGGCTTCATGCAGAATGTCTCAGTGAACTCAATAAAAGTTGCAGTGGCACTAAGTTTAGTTGTCATTTGAGAAGCGTCTGAACTTGAGCTTGTTTTTATGCCCAGCACATTTTTCAGGATACACCTATCTTTGGGCATTTCACTGTAGATTTTTGAATAGCTAAGCAGTGTACATGCACCATTCTGTCTCAAAGGCATTCAAACACCTAATGTCCCTTTGTTGGGACCCTTCAGGTACATTTTGATGCCAAGTCCATCATGTCTCCCCTGTTATTTTCAGGCATTCGAGCAGCAGCGGCAGCCGCGTGAACTTTAATCTACACCCTACTGCCAATGGGCAGACCATGAATGGGCCTGGTTCTCCTCTCACCTTCGACCCAGGAGTTGCTCCAATGCCACCAGCACAGCCGCAGCCACTCTTCAGCTTGGTAGGTTTAATTCAACATCTACCCTTCCATTCTCATGGCTAGAAATTGGCAACTCTGTACATATGTGTGTGAGAATTTCCAGGCTTGCTAGCATGAATCATTAAAGGTAACGGTTATATAACTTGTTACTATTACAGTGATATCGCTTCTGTGACTTACAGTGATACCGCGTTTGTCACCAACAATTTCCGGCAACCGCATTATAACCGGTCTTTCATCTTGGGAGACTGCATAATAGGTAGAATGTGTATACATGAGGTTCTATGGGAGAGTAAATGGGAGTAGAAAAAGACCACATTTTAAATGGTTCTGCACTATAAGTGGTTAGATTATAAGTGGTATACACTGTATAAGGCTGTCATTCTGAATACCTGAGTGCAACATTTCATGATGCAGGCAGTGATCCTACTCCTGCGCCAACTGCGCCAAAGTGCACCAAATCAGATTTACTGCGACATCCTGGTAATATCATCAAAAATTGCGCCGAAGTGCACCAAAGTTAGATTTTGGAGTGCCTATCACAGGCAATAGTCACGCCGGCGCGTCAATACATGTGCACCTTGTTCTCGGGGCCACCAATGTCACATTCACGTACCTGTTTTGTTACACCGCACGTGTGTCCTGAAATCCACGATGCTATGTTTGGTGCCGGCGCAACTCTGTTGTGCAGGTCCGCTTAACGGTGAAACGCTCTCTCCGCAGGGGCTTGTGACGTCTAGTCCAATCGGTAGCATGAAACTGTGGCGGCGATTCATCGGCAGACATCGTCCGTTCCAGGAACACTGCTGGTAGTTCATTTGAAGAGTTGTGTGGCTTGTAATAAAGCAATTATCACTAATAACTGCATGCAGGCCATCATAATGTCTATCACGTCTCTGTCTCAACATCGCGATCGAATTTTCCGTGCTTTGCGTCCACAAAAGAACACGTAAATGGTGGGAACGCGTTGACACTTTTCCTCTAATATACTTCATCCATGGATTATCATGCAGAAAAGCTGTTTCGTAATTCCTTCTACCAGCACATCCGTGTTTATAATCACTGTGGCGGTAAAAGCCCCTAAAGGACCCAGCCCTTTCGAACTCGAGGTTGCTAGGGTCCGAATTTAAAATTCTCACATGCTTTCTTTTTGAATGTCACCTCATTTATAAAAGCATGCCTCCTGGTCGGAGCAGCTGCAATTCGGTTTTAATACGTGCAGCTATATATAGTGAGGCCATCGCTGGCGGCTCTGGTGTCGGAAGGCCTGTGAAGTGACCACACCTTGTTACACGTCCACCTCTCGCTGTTAAAAAAGAAAAATGAACATCGTGGCACCGCATTTATTGCTTCGTTTTGAAGGGAGGGGTAGAGGCGAGGCTGCTGCGTCGTTTGAAGTAGCTGGCACGCACTATCGAGGCATGATGAGACTGCTTGTGATCTTTTTGTGCTACCAAGATCTGCTTCGCGTTTAGATAACTGACAGCACAAAAGCTTCGGCAACTAGTGATCGTTGTCCTTTTACCCAGCATTCTTTTGAATTATGCGATATTGGATCTAAAAGATACAATTTGTTAGTTTCATTTACGCTCTTAGAAATGGATGGGATATCAACAAATTATATTGTTATACCAAATAATAAGGCTTGACGTCATCCGTGAGAAGCGCTAGCAGCAGGGTTGCCATTTCTAAGGTCTGCGCACTCTCAAAAATTTGCAGCACGCACGTTGTTCAATATTCGCAAGTCTTGTGACTAGAGACCCCTCCCGAGACATCTCTTGCACGCCGATGCACGTACAGATGGAATTAGACTCGTCTAGAGCACCCATCCGGCTGCTCCAGCTGGCATTTTCTTCAGTAATATGCAAAGAGAGACGCCGTAATGCTACCAAACATGGTCGTACTGCGTGTGCTGTAATGTAAGCATCAACAGAAGCTTGTTGCTAACCTGAGATAGAAGCCGCAGCCAACAACAGTGTTGACCGGCACGCGCTCCGCTGCTCTAGACTAGCGTGATTCTATCTGTACAATATGAACGGCTCGTACAAATGGACCTCCAAAATGGCGTGACAGTAGTGTGGCCGCCTTGGGATCAAGGCTCAGTGAATACCCCTATATGGCTTCTAGAGAGCGAAGCACTTTTCGCACAGTCTGTTCGCATTGAGAGTACAAGTTAGAAGGGTATACCAGCCGTAAATAGCGTGTGCGCCAGCGATCACACCTTTAATGTCTAAGTTCATAACAACGCCCCCCCCCCCCCCCCCCCCTTGCATTTTTAGCTCGATCCTTCCTGTCCCTTGGACACAGATGGCACGTTCCTCTCTGCTTGAGTAACAATTGATGAGAGGCCTGGCACGCGGGGAGATGTTATCACATCCGCCCTCAGTGAAAAGGAGATAAGTCGACTCTTCATATCTCTGCTTTAGCCGCCTTCGTCGCCCCTGCTTGCATGCTTTTACCAGCGTGTAAAACTCGATGTCCGGGGGATGTTATCGATTGGGACATTACACAAAACATGACGGCCAGTGGCATAGCCAGGGAAAGGGGCACATCGGAAATGTGCTTACCACACCTCCAACCCCCCCCCCCCCCCCCCCCCCCCCGTGTGTTTTTTTTTATTATTATTATTTCTGGCTACACCCTTGGCAACTAGTAGAGAATGTCCACATAATTGCTATTCTATTAAAAACAAAATGAATCTTGCCTTCGAGTTGTCTTAGGAGAGGTGAGGTGAGGTTTTTTTTATGCTCTGCTTTCTAGACTAGAGGACAGGGTAGGGTATTTTTGGAGTATAGACAGAACGCCGTAGCCACATAAAATATTGCTGCAAAAGGAAAATGAAGTTTGTTAAGGTGTGTACTTTCAGCACAGAGATGAGTGTTGGAGAAAGTTGGCCTTCTGAGACTAGCTGAATGATGTCATATCACGCCCAGCAGTCTAATCAGTTGTGAAGAAAAACTACTTTTTTTTATTCTTGAAGTCACCTTAGGGAAATGCACTTGGGACTGTGCAAGTCCCTAGCGTTGTACGTCACAGCATTTGTCTACCATATCTGCTGATAACCACATAGGTGTATTTATATTGTTACTTTATGAAGTACAATTTTATTCAACCGGTATTCTATTTATATTTGATACAGAAATAATCACTGAACTAGTTTTCTAGAATCCTCAACAGCATGACACCATTATTCTTGCATCATCAACTGAAATATGGAGCCCTTCTAAGATGATTAGCTCCAAGAAATTTGCAATGAATCTAAATATTTCTTTTGACAAGAGCCTCAGAATAATTGTTCATATCCTTGAGTGTAAATGCAACTTGCTTCTCCTCCAGGATTTGAAGTTAGTTGCTTCAGATTGCTCCAAAATGGAAAGTTTTGCTGCTACAAAGTGCTCCAAATGAAAAAATTTGCTGCTCCAAACTGCTCCAAAAGGGAAATTTTGCTGCTCCAAAAATTGCTCCAAATCGGAAGACCTTGGTGGCATCACTCTGAAGGTGGAGGCATGGAATGCTTTGTCATTCCAAATTAAAGGTGTTTTTTGGATGAAAGGGGATGGTTATCCAGAGCTGCAACTTATCCACCGAATATAGATTAAATGTGTATGAAGCTGTCCTTTTATGGTAACAATACAAGGCTCACAAGGAAACACCAGGTATTATTCCAAATTAAATTATGAGTTTTTGACAGCGGACATCAAAAATATGCACATTGAAATTTGTCTTGATTATTCTAACAAAAATTTACATCATGCAAGATGTGCTGTACACACTCCTCTCTTTTTCTATGCTTCCCCAAATAGTGCGGATGGTTTTCTGTGAGAAATCAGATGCATGGTCTTGTAGTCACATATGGGCTGTCTAAATTTTACTTTTTTTACAGTATCATATGAGTTTGTATAAATATTTAATAAATGTCTGTGCATTTTTACTGAATGCATAAGTATCTAGATGGAGAGGTACAGTAGAGTAAGAAGGACGACTCATTTGCGCTTCCTGAAAAACCACTAGTCTTCTGAGGCCTGAAATTGCATTTGGAAACTTGCACTTCGTGTGTACAAAGGGAGTAATTATTGCTGGTGTATTTCTTCTCCCCTGCTCTCCTCATCAGGCTGATGCTGGTGGTGGGCAGCAGGCAGCAGCAGCTGCAGCAGCAGCAGCCCAGCAGGCCTCGTCCTTTGTACCTGGCTCTCTAGCAGGACCGACCATAGGGCCATCGTACCTGTGGAACTACATCATGCCCACACCAGTGGGCCCCATGGGTGCTACTGCAGCAGGACCACAGCCACCCCCACTGCTGTACATGGGTACCAGCCAGTCCATGGTGGCCCCTCAGCTGGAAAACTTGCTGCGACAGCAACAGCAACACCAACAACAACAACAGCAGCAGCAGGAGAAGCAGCTGCAGCAGCAGCAGCCACCACAGCCACAGCCTACTGAACCTGGCAAGGTGGCCAGCACTCCTGCTGACCTTTACCAGGGGGGTCCATCACCAGCAATAGCACCTCCATCACAGCCAACTTGGATGCCTCAGCAGCGTGCGGAAGTAAGCAAGACACTTATAAAACTCCATGCATGGAACACGCAACAGTCATTAAGGGGAGACATTGGTCTTGAAAAAATTTTTATTATTTGTCTTAATTGAATGAAACTTAATGCACTTATTCAGTTTCTTCTGCAGATTCCAAGTTTCTAAGTAGATTTTCGGTAGCTGCATCAGAACAGAAGATAATAATTTGTTTTATCTTACACAATTAGCATATTTATTATGGAGCTTTTTGGCAATTTCACTATCTCAAACACAAAAAGCAAAGTATATATCCAGATTGCCAGAGAGTTGGTCTAGCCGATGATGCTAATTTCATTATTTGCAACGAACTTCAACTGTGAAATAAATGGATACAAGCGTCAGTGAAAGATTTCTGCCACATATTATTTACAATCATCATAAATTACAATTCGGTGAACAACCTATAGAAGAAAATGAATAGCATCATCGGCCAGATCTATTCAATACGAACACATTGGTGTTAAGCTTGTTATTGGGAGTCAATAAAAACATGTCAAAATGCCCCATAAGGCTATGTGTTATATCTAAAAACATGAAACTGAGAAAAATGCATTTGAAGTTTTAGTTTCCTATAAATTGATGTGGTATTGCAACATAACTGTATTGATTGATTGATTTGTGGGGTTTAACGTCCCAAAACCACCATTTGATTATGAGAGACGCCGTAGTGGAGGGCTCCGGAAATTTTGACCACCTGGGGTTCTTTAACGTGCACCCAAATCTGAGTACACGGGCCTACAACATTTCCGCCTCCATCAACATAACTGTATAAATGGCACCATTATGTAGCTTTGTCCTTCAGGAACAATATATTGCCTTATATGTTACAACAATGTCACAGGAATCGTGAAAAATTTGCAGTATTAGCATGCATAGTCCTTGAATATAGTGCGAGAAAGCTGCTACCAAGCACTTCACCATTGTAATTCAGCTTGTATATGCACACTGTAACTTGCGTACGTGGTTTAGTGTGTGTAGCAATTATGAGATAAGATCGTGGGCTAGCCTTTTGATGCCAGTCAATTCCACGTCCCACGTGAGCTCTCAATTTGATAAATTACTCAATTAACTCAAAGGCATATATATACATCTCGTAATGCTTTGCTCAAACCTCGAAGTCTAGTGTCATATGAACTCGATTCCTGCGCTATGTGTGAGATCCAACGGAATTTTTCCCACCATTTTCTTTAGTCGCATACCATCGTACATCACTCCCATCCCCTGCACACACGCACTTATATGAAGGCAGACGTTTCATTTGATAACTAAAGGCTGGAATGCTCAATTGGTTAGCACCAGAGGAATAACGAGAAAAAAGATGATGTAGATAAGAAACATGCCTCCTCCCCCCTTCTTTTTGCTACTTCAAAGCTGCCTCTACTACATTTGTTAACTTGGAAAGGGACCAACCTCATTGTATACTTGATAATATCTGAGGTATTATATCCCCAAAACCACAACATATAGGAATGCCGTACTGGAGGGTTCGGGAAATTTCGATCATCTGATCTTCTTTAATTTGCACCCATTGCACAGCACACGGACCTCGGGCATTTCGCCTCCATCGAAATGCAGCTGCAGGGTCGGGATCGAACCTGTGTTGTTCGGGTCAGCAGCCGTGCACCGTGACCACTACGTTATTGCGGCAGTCTCATATCTCTGCTGCGTATGCAGAAAGCTCCATGCAGCGACGACCTTCTTTATGGCAAGCTTATGATTAACAAGTTAATGCGTGGGGTAGGAAAAAAAAAAGCGGGAGATCTCTTACCTGCACATTCGCTAACGAAAATTAAACGGAATCGAGGAGGTCGGTTCGGATGGCTACGACAATCCATTGGTATTCAGCGCCACTGCAGGGAAGACGTCCAAATAAATCAATGCCGACACGGTTGAATGGATGGGCTAGACAGGGAAGTGGCCGGAGAGGTACTGCGGAGAGGTGCGAAACTGGTTTGCTTCATTGGCAGGCAATGCAAGAGCGGACATACTTGCAGACAAAGTTGTACATGTCACGCCAAAAATACTGTCAACTGAGCTGCACTGTGTGTCATTGTGAAGAGCAAAATACTGTGCCTGGCATCGCAGCATACGAGGTGCCTACACTGGGGCTCTTTGATTTCTTACTTCTGGCTACCCGTGGGCTGCCACAGCCAGGCAGAGTGTGCTCGTTTTTTGTCGGGTTGCTCCGTCCCCCCCTGCGGCGCACTTTCAGTTGGTGTTTGTTTTTCTCGGGTTGGACAGTTCTGGCGACCTGCGGGGAGTCCAAAGGTCGCCAGAAGCATCCAGGACAATTTAGTTGTGGAAGCTCTATGGAAGGTTTCAGGCTAACAGACGCCGAAAAAAAAAAAAAAAAAAAGATGATATACGTGCGCCGCCATCTTTATGAGGACTCGGCGGATTGCAGTGCGAGCACTTGGGGATTGTGCTTTCGCTTGTCATTACGCGGGGCGTTATCTTATAAAGCCCATTCCACCGTGCGAGATGGGGCGATTACGAGTGATGGCGAGCATCAGAAACTACAGTTCATCGCTTTTGTTACGTTTCCCGGAAGCTTCCTTCCGGGAACAATGCGAAAAACTGATGCCTGCTAACTGCGTTGTGCACACGTCCCAAAAGTTATGTGCGTGCTCTTTCGTATGAATGCATGGAAACAACTTCAGCGTTTATTTTTTTCGTAGTTGTATTTGTTTATGGTGTCGTGCCTGCTTCCTGTGCACTTAGTACAGATGATTTTGGTCGAGCTTACCATTTTGGTTTGTCGTACATTCATGTGCATGAATGTCTTCACTTAGCTATTTGGTCTTTGATGGTGATAGGATACCCTGATTGAATTATAGCGATCGCGAACGGCGTGCAAGCATACTACGTTCTATGAGTTAGTATATGCAGTATGGTATTAAGTTACGCTATCACATGTTGATGTGGCGGGAACCGAGGTGCATTCAGAAATGTATACATCGTTTCTTTGCATCCAAGGAGTACATGCACAAGGAGCACGTGCAAAGAATGCGAAAATACGCTTATGATCACACTGAAACTTAAACCGAAACAAGTTCATCGGGAACTACTTTGGCGCACTAACACAGAGCAGTTTAGCTCCGCCCCCGTAGCCTTCTCTTCATTGCCACAGAAAGTTGTCCCTGACTGTAGAAAGCCTGTACTGTGTTATTAGCTATGAATGAAGGAAAGAGTAAATTTGTGGGCTTGTTTCCTTTGTTAGACACAGTATCAATGAGAACTAACAGACAATAATGCCAAGGGAAGCATAGGGACGTTATTAGAATTGTAATGTAAATGTGAAGAAAGAAAAGCGGACAAAAAGATAACTTGCCCCGGCAGGGATCAAACCTGTGACCTTTGAATAATGCTTCCGATCCTCTACCACTGAGCTATGGTGGTGGTCAATCCCCCTGTCCACTTTATAGGATACACACGTCGAAGCATTAGTCAGTGGCACCTGTTGCCATTAAGGCGAGTGTCGAACACTCTCTTTTTTTTTTGCCTGTTTGGTGTCACGTAGTATCTGATCTTATTATGAAATGGCAGCTATCCAATAATCCCTCGCACACCACCTCAAGGCGTCAAGTCTGCCAGAACGACACCCTCATTATATGAATGAAGGAAAGTGTAAACTTAAGGGCTCGTTTTTTTTGTTTTGGAAGCAATAAGCAGTTCGGTGCCTGCCGGTGGCAAGTTATCGTTTTGTCCCCTATGTTTTTCTTGGCATTACTGTCTGCTAGTTCTCATTGATATTGTGTTATTAGCTAGGTAGATAATGTGCTTTGACAGTAACTTGGCATTGATGTAATCGGGGGTCTGCCCAGAGGACCGGAGCCAGCCAGAGTCTCAGGGAGATGGCGAGGAGAGGAGCCAGGAGCTGTTAACAGTAACTTTTAATTACAATATTTACAGCTAGCGTGTTACGTGATGATGGTAGCATCATGTAAGCCCGCGACGGAAGCATGATGGTAGCTTTTGGGAGCTTGTGAGAGCTTGTCAGGAGTGCCTCGGCACTCGCATTTTATGTCCCGGCCTTCCCAGGATTCCCTGCAGGAAAAAAACAATAGAGGCCAGGACAGTCCAATGAAGTTTGTCATCTTCACCTCCGTCCCCGAAAGGGGAAGGTGAAACACCGCCTCCTTCTTAATTCGCGAAAGGGGGAAGAGTCATGCCCAGATCAGCCCATGGCGAGGGAGAAAACACTGCACACCGCGCACGACACAGCACAGCACGAAGACGTTGAGTGATACGTGGAAGTCAATTTCACAGTCTGTTACAGTGATGGGCATGCAGCGCCAGGCAGACCACAAATTGTGGAAACAGTGGCATCAAGGCGCCACGGAGAATGTAGGAAATGCATCCGCAGGCAGTTCTCAAATGCTGGGCCCTGTGCCCGGGGCACCTTGACCACAAAGCAAGCCGCCTCGACGGCCAACAACTCTTCCTGATCCGTCAGTCGGTCAGGCGTGTCCAAAGGGTTTTACGAGGGGTGCCGACGACCTGGGATAACTAGAAGAACGATTTCTCTGTTGTCACTGCTCTTGGTGCATCTCTGGGAGCGCTGACTCGGAAGAAATCAGGGTAGGCTCAGCCACAATGTCTCATGCGTCAAAGCGGCGTCAAGCTAGGCAGGCCATTCATAACAGCGTCCAGTTGGCTTTGGGTTAATTAAAGCACCTAGTGTTTATTTGTAGGTTGCGTGATAATTTCAGCATAGGTCGAAGCACTGATACCAATAGACTGAATATTTTAATCATGCAATGGAATGGCTACGTTGCTGCCAACCACATCAATGCGTAGGGGTGCACAGCATTACTATTGTGGACAGGAATAAGGGAGAGAAGTGCAGGTCTTTGATTAGATGAATGTAACACTATAAGTGATTGAGACAATGTATAAAAAATATTTGGCTTTATTTTGCAGGCTTGACCATTGAACACAACGTAGATACTATTGAAAAAAAAGAAAAAAAAAGA